TATATATGTGAAGGTTGACATTGTAAAAGGTGTAAAAAATTTGTGCCATGAATTATTTTAAGTGGTTCAAATTAAGGATAAAAAAAGTGCGCCAGCTCACACATTTTGTAAAAAAAAAGGTTTTAAATTTAAGTCAAAATCAAACAGTCAATATTAACAATATCTTTCATTGATTCCACAACTTTTCAACCACACATTTCAAAAACTTCTATCACACTCTATTAAAAAATCAATTTTAATCCCCACCAAACACCCTCTTATTACTGTATCGAGATTGATACACTTGCCTATAATAGGTGCGAGTAGGGTAGAGCAAACTATAAGCCCGAGCATTTTGTAGTGGACAACAATTTGTTTACACACGTGTTAGATGACTTAGTCAGAAGAATATTTACTATTGGAATCACATGTTAAGTTTTGTATATTTCACATGAATAGGAACAAGTTGCATTGGTGAAGATGACATTATTGTTGCCCTATTGATGGGACTAATTCTTTCACTTCTATCCAGAAATTTTTGAACGGTCCAAATTAGGGCATTGGTCTTTTTTTTTTTTTATAACCGTAGATGTTCGGATCAGCCACTACCATCATCAATAATAACCTGGGATCTGCTATAGCATCTTTTTATCTCCCAAAGAAAAGAAAGTGGGAAATTTCAGGCAGTGGTGTTCCTGCTAGCCCTCTTCAATGTAACATTATTTTCAATGTAGGGGNTATATATGTGAAGGTTGACATTGTACAAGGTGTAAAAAATTTGTGCCATGAATTATTTTAAGTGGTTCAAATTAAGGATAAAAAAGTGTGCCAACTCACACATTTTGTAAAAAAAAAAAAGGTTTTAAATTTAAGTCAAAATCAAACAGTCAATATTAACAATATCTTTCATTGATTCCACAACTTTTCAACCACACATTTCAAAATTTCTATCACAATCTACTAAAAATTCAATTTTAATCCCCACCAAACACCCTCTTATTACTGTAGCGAGATTGATACACTTGCCTATAATAGGTGCGAGTAGGGTAGAGCAAACTATAAGCCTGAGCATTTTGTAGTGGACAACAATTTGTTTACGCACACGTTAGATGACTTAGTCAGAAGAATATTTACTATTGGAATCACATGTTAAGTTTTGTATATTTCACATGAATAGAAACAAGTTGCATTGGTGAAGATGACATTATTGTTACCCTATTGATGGGACTAATTCTTTCACTTCTATCCAGAAATTTTTGAACGGTCCAAATTAGGGCATTGGTCTTTGTTTTTTTTTATAATCGTAGATGTTCGGATCATCCAGTACCATCATCAATAATAACCTGGGATCTGCTATAGCATCTTTTTATCTCCCAAAGAAAAGAAAGTGGGAAATTTCAGGCAGTGGTGTTCCTGCTAGCCCTCTTCAGTGTAACATTATTTTCAATGTAGGGGTAACCTAACATTGAATTTAAATTTCCACAATCAATTTTACCAACCCTACTCGCACAAATTAGTAGCAGCTATCACTGCAATATGCAAGTCAAATAGACTATTTTGTCTCATATCTCTTACCACCATTAATGTTGACCACCACATATTGATAGTTTTTGGTAAAACATTTATATTTGAGCAGGTCTTAATGTACAGAAA